GTTCACAAGTTAATGGCCAAGTTCGGTGAACAGAACAACATCCACTGGATGAAGAACCAATAGACGCTCATTCCCAGTAAAGCAATTTTTATTGCCAAATCTCCTCACATCATCATCAATCTCTATTATGCCTGAATTTGGCAGATTAATCGTAATGACAGCGCACGCTTTTTATCTGCCCGTAGTCCCTTAACAGAAAGTGAAGATTCCACTGACGTGCCTGATAAGAGATATTCTAATGTTGAGATCCCCAGGTCAATCAGTTTTAACCCAGTCTTTAGAAAATTACAGGATACGTCGACCGCCAAGGAACTCAACGGCGTCACACGAGCCGATTGATTTTGAGTGCGGATGCGACATGAGTAACATATTCAGGAATGCATATCCCCGCACATCTGTCATTTCCTAGGTGGAAGATAAACCATTCTGAGCAACGAAGCAGATAGGCCATCGTGACCGTGTAGATCCGGCAGCGAAATGATGTTTTCAGAGTATCTGGTTCATGAAGATAGGGATATTGGATTTGAGGATTTCGCGTATACCGAGCCAAAATTTGCATAAATGGAACTAGGGAGTGAGCAGCGCGTTTCCACTATTATAGACGCCAAATGGATAAGCCGACTTTGTTCCTCTTAGGTCCTTGTAAGTTGTGTGAAGGTATACCGTGCTGCATGTTGCGCATATAATTCCTGTTCTATCTAAGTCATGCACCGTAGTGCTGTGAAGCTTGCAATCAATCAAAATTAGCTGCTTGTTTTAGCTAATCCACTGTGGATGGGTATTAAGTCTAACTAGTGCAAGTTAACACCCGGAAAATTTCGGACAGATGAGTGACTGGATCGGAGATGGTTCGTAAATAGTCTGTGTTCCCACCCAATACGGTAATGTCCTCGGCGTATCTGCGATCCATAGGCCGAATTTTTCTGATGCGTTAACTGCCAAACTATCATCTCACTTCCTATTCAATCACCTGACCATTTGAGAATTTTGATTACACTGGTACCAAAGACATTCTTATCTTACCGCAGATGTGAGGATTTACTCAGAGACCACTTCAGAGTGGGTTCGTTGACAAGTAGTAAGCACTAGCGAATGGATCATTTTGAGTGGATAGACAATCGACAAGAAGTACAGTCGATGTTGACACACGATTAACTAGGCCGAATGGAGATGAAACATTAACACTAGTGATTTTCTATTGCCCGATGATGGCTGCTCTGGTGATTTTGTTAGGTTTAATGAGTGTGCTTAGGAGCGGTGTTTCGTTTGCTTGCTTCGTGTTTTAATGACGATATATTCAACAGTGTCTTCAAGTCTCCCGCAGACTTCACCGTGCCCGTATTTTGCACATTTTAACATATTTCATGATAAAGGTATTACAATCTGACTTTGGTGCTGATTTTTAATCCTGGGTTTTTGAATATGCCATTTGAGTGAACTACGATTGAATTTATGTAACTCGTGGTTCAAAACGTGACGTCTGTCCACTCATGACCAGCAGTCGATCGGCCCTTTTGGTTTCATCTACATGCATCTACATCCAACAACTTTTTGGAGAGAAGAAAATATGCAGGTGCTCTCGAACTTCCTCATAAGGTGCCAACCTGTCTTTTGGCCAAACGGTTTTTTCGTTATTCAACGGACTTCTTCTGTGTGTACAGCTTTGACCCACTCAGTAGCGGTTTACAACTGCGTACGTCAGGATTCATCAAACACACCAAATATATTCAAGACGTTAGCGAAAATATCATATATAGTAATAAAATGTCGCTTCTTGTCTATGAGATTCCACATTGAGGTTTTGGTCGAGCGTTAAGGGAGATTTGATACTTCCACGTTCTACCCGATATACTTTACTCTGAGCACCTACACGAACATAGGCGTGTCCTGCACTGCTGCATGATATTGGGATAATTTCATGACTCTTGAGCCTATACAAGCGAGAATTGTGTAGTACTTTTTCTTGGTTGACCAAAAACCAGTGGAGTTACAAGCCGTTGTGCCGAATTCTGAGAAGCGATGGTTAATACATAGGATGTGCCAAGCGATTAATCGTAACCGCCGGTGACAGTCCAAGTTGAAGAACTACCAGATACTATTGTATACAGTAGAATATGTTAGGCATGCTGATACAAATGTCCGTTGGTCGGGCAAGTAACTGAAATTTTGATAGCCTCTGTCCACCCTTGAAATTATGATTTACTGAATTCTACGCATATGCAATCGTCTTCGCAAATTCTCCATGATCCAGAACCAACTTCCGTAATGGATGATATCAAGAGTGAAAGAAGGTTAGGTTAAGCCTTCATGCAATCGTTTGAAATGTTTCCTGGGACCCTTGAGCAGTGCAGCTGTTTAGATACCTTGATGGCTTATTGACGTGCACTTCAGCCTGTTCGCGGATGAAGGTTTTGTAAGCAGTTTGCCGGTCTTTCAGAATGGGAATAAATTAAGTCCGTCGGTTGTTTTGACAAATTATGGTTGCTTGACTACGGCTGCTTTTCATTTGAATACTAGATCCGTGCACTTGAATGGGCTAATGCAAAGTGTTTAAGGTGAAGAAGCATGGTAGATTACATTAAAATTCATGCATTGAACCTAACGGCAGTAACAAATTTCGATTATAAGATAAACACGAAAAACGTCATGATTCTCTAGGCCTGATATTTATTTCATCTGAAAGCCCCCGGCATTTCGCTGATCACGAACTGTTTAGATAAGGTAGAATTTCCAACCAAGGTGTTCAAAGTTGTGAGGTCTGCATATGCCATCCCCGTACATTGTCTCACAGCATAAATGCGCGCCTGCAGGATCTCTCATGGTCACACAGACGGGCTTTGCCAATGGCGACGGCCTGTCTCATGAGCGTGAACTACATATCTTGAAAATAAAGGCGGAGACAAACATCAAGGGCATCAAGTCAAAACAACATCCCTCGACTGATCTAGTCATTTACGTTCCTCAGCCACAGAGCAGGCTTGGGGGATCGGATTTGTTCCGTGTTCAAAGGTGTTTGCATAGCTATGGGAACGCAAATTCTCTAGGAGTAACTTTTCGGTTGATTTTCATTTGGGGACTGGGAAAGTTGTTATTTGACAGTAGAGTAGGTGAACAATGATTACTGTCCTAATTCATATGAGGAAGCTTCCATTCCACAGTTGGTAGAAGCGACCCGATCTAGTCCTGTTGAGAAATATTCAATCCTTAGTTTTTTCAAAACATGGTAGGATTGTCAGCAAGTTTTTAAGCCTGCGTATTTCGAAACACCGACTGACTTGCGACAGTTGAGTTGCTTGAAAGGTGTTGACATCACCGGCTACCTGGCCTTCTCATCTTTTTCGATACTTTGTTTACCACTGATCTGAGGAATATCGTGTGGGCACCGTTAAATGAGTATCTTCCATTTTTTTCAGACGAGGGTTCACTTTGGTTGGCATGATTGTTTAAGACATGTTTGTTTTCATTTCATTTCCGCCAGTCAATTTATGATCTGGCTGGCGTTGTGATTTGTTTTTCTTACGAATGAACAGTGCTCTAATTACACACTTGTTTCGAAAATCTTAACCGTGTATCAACTAGACTACTCTACCACTTGGTGGACTTATACTTCACTAGCTCATTTCGTACCCTGCATGTCTATTGGAATCCGCTATTCATCTTTATCCATCCATTCTTCATTTCTGCTGCGTTACAGTTTCTCTCACAAGCTACCGGTCTAGGAGGCACTTAGGATAATATATTCACTCGTTTGTGAGATGTGACATCACATTGTCGAGCGCGGTGTCCAGTGTCACAGTGTCCAAAGAAACGGATAAATCCGAATAAGTCATTCAACGTGATATCACGGGTGCTACCGAATCCATTTGTGCCAGACAATTCAAATGCACTCACAATTCCGATGGTGTCCGTTATTCGGCCATAACAACCAACCGTGTCGTCTAACAGGTCAGCGGAGAGCTCTGACTCTGTCCTGTTAAAAGTTTCACGGTTCTTAGTTAACTCGGGTTGGGGAAACTATATCCAATCTTTTGTCTCCAAGCCCAAATCTATCTCGCTAATGGTTTGACGAGGAATTCATGTAAGACCAGTTATCCAAAACTGCAAACTACATTCTTGATTTCAATAAAGATCTATGAAAAATTATTTAACGACTTGAATAAAATGTTTTCTTACCAACTACGTTTTGGGACAAAGGTTATTAGCCCGTATGTTCATAATATCGCTCTCCCGAAGAAACTGCCGAGATGCCCGTTTCCGTAACTAGCGTTACAGTTAGGCGCTTTACTACAGACATACATATTAAGTCGGTATTTTTATTATGAAAGCAATCGCTTTGGACTCAGTGACTTAGAGACCATTATAATTTAAATGCTGCTGCCTAAATATATAAGTCTGTAGAATCAATAGTCTAAAGGAAATGACGAAATCACTTTGATGAGTTGCTTAGTGTAGAGATTCTGAGCAGTGCTGCCAAGGCCAACAGGCTGGAAGTGCTGTATGCAGCTCAATTCGGGACAATGAATCCTCCATTTGCGGTTAAAACTTCGTCATCGATATAGGTGTCGGTTGGTGGGATGTGTACTCCAAAACCTGCAATATGATTCCAATATGATGGGTTGCAAGCCAATTGGATAAGGTAACCAAAAGTGAAACTAATGAGAAAAATTATTTTGGAAGTAAATGTGGATCCAATTCATAGTGAACAACGGGTCTAAAACCGATATTATAGATGCATCACTGTATGCAAATAGGTCATCTGTAGATACTCAAAAATCATGGATGAGTTGTTAGGTCTGCCGAGTGCTTTACTCATTTTTTTGCGTGCTGATTCTCCAAACGAGAAATGGAAATATCCATGGGTGTAACCGTTGGTGAATTGTCTGGAACTAGAAGCCACATCATGTGACCGCATCTGAGTGACTTGCACTGCATCAAACCGAACCAATCACGGATATCTACCGCTCATCGGAAAAGTATTTATTTGGACGCTTTGCCGTGCAATTGCAGGCATCCATCTGGCAGAAATGCAGTACAAATTATTCCTCCTGCTAATTGTTGCCCCATTGTTATGCAACACATTTCCAACGCAGCCCGATGGTGAGTGACTGGATTCGGCTGTAACTTACATTGTCATAAAGTGAATAAACTAATATCCAATTCAATTTTATACCAAAAGAAATTTTAGAGATAATGAAGCCTGTGGTGACCAAGTGAAGACAACCAGTTTGGAGAGCAAAAGAGTAGGCTACTTTTGACTGACATTTGCGAGCCTAATGCTGTAGTGTAATAAAATCCTTCATGGGTAGTATGGTTTGCTGCGGCTCGATTATTAAGCAGCTTTAAAGTAATCATCTTCTCACCATAATGCCTATTAACTTACCTAAACAACAAATACTAACGGACTGACAAAACAGATACATGAGGTCAAATCTGAAGTATTTGTATGGAATAACTTGATAATAGATGACAGTTAGAATGGTATTTGATAAGTTGTGTTTTTGCACAGGAACTGCGAACGTGCTTTCGTCTGAAATGAATGATTATCAGAAAACGTGGGGTTTTGTCATCATTTTAACCAATATTCTCGACAAGCTGGTTAAATGAATACTTTCAGGATAGTTTTTCCGCATTTTAAGCTGTATTTTGAACACAAGTGGAGTATATCTGGAGAATTGCTGGCCATAATGTCGCTTAGCTTATTGTGGTGCATGCAAATTCACTAAAGCGTCTCCTTCGTGGTTCTTTTTCAGACATCTGTCTACGTCAAAAGGATTTTGGATCTTGCCATGTAACTGGCACAACAAAGTACTACTACGATCATCGGCAAAAGAGATGCGTATCTTACAGAGATCGATGTGGCAAGAGTGATAACAGTTTCAACACTTATGATGAGTGTTACGAACAATGCAGTCACCTCATGCATACGCATTAATTATAAGATAAACGCGAGTGCTTTTTGTCTCTAACCTGGCGTAAAATACATTATTCGTCTAGTTGAATTGCTGTTCTTACTAACGGGGCTAAACAGTAAGTTTTTTCTAGTGAGTTTGCGAACATGTTTACCGATGGTGAGGTAGGATACAGGAGTCTGATCACCGTTAAACAGACCGTACCACAAGACGAAAACACATGTCATGCAATAAGCCGTTCGCCTATTGGTGGCTAGATAATAGGGCGAAGAGGGGAATAACGGACAACGGAAAACGCGTGCAACTCTTACAGAAATTGTGAGTCCCGGGGTAGTAAACATTATGTTTCTCTAGATCACATCCTTAGCATAGTTTCCAACACCAATCAGCAAGAAAACCTCTCCGGCTTCAATTTTATATTCTAGGAACACGTTAACCCGAAAATTGTGGAGCTAAAGCATGCATTAAAACACTTCCTGCTAATTGACTGTTCCAACCGTCTAACCGTGCGCTTCATTGTTCAGCCACCTAGATGCACACGTTTACTTTCGTTCACTGAGCCAAATGAAAAGCAACCAGCAGTGTACAACAGACTGATCATAGCCAGTCGCACGGATCCTGATCCCGTCTATCTCCGCTTTAAAATTATTACTTTAAAATTACTTCAAAATGACCAATGCATTCGGAACTGCATGCAGGATCCGCATAATCTGCAGGTTATAAAGATGTTTTCCCGAATGAGTCGACCCTAAGTTCGCCTGACTCACACAGAAAACCAGCATTTTGCAAAATAATTGGGCGGTCGTCCACTTGGTTTGGGAGGTAGTTTATTCTCTCCTATTTGCTGGATTTTTGTCATTTTCACCTTGCGCTATATCGTAGGTTTTTGGTATACGACGAGGTGGTTGCAAAATTTGGTGCCTTCTATTCTTACAAATAAATTGAAAGTAACTTTTGGAGTGCAAACGGCATCCAACGGAAGTAAATACAAATTCAACGAGACATTGTTTTTGTTGACTTTGACCGTAAGTGAAAAATCCATAAAATAGGTTGCTAAGGTGTTCCGACTTAATGACTTCGTACTTTAAATGCATACAGACCTTACAACAGTGCATCTTTGAAAAGAATTATCACAGTAACAGGAATTTATACGTCACCTCAACGCGTTGGCCTAAGGTAGTCTGCCAGTTTTATGAACAACCAGTTACTCTGATGCTTCTTGTGGAAACAGTGCGGTAACATCACCTAGCAAACGAGCGTTAGCGTTGACGACAGTCGAATGCTCGAAATGACTACGCTTGGGAAAACGCAGGTTGACGACTCGAAGTGTATTTTAGAGCCGGATGAGGGCCAATAATGAGAGAGCCTGTGTTTTTTGCATGGAGATCTAACTTGCCAGATCCCCCAGATTATATTATCGCAAATACCTGTTCCATGCAGAGTCAGATTAGAGGCAAATTTAGAGAGCCATAAGCCTTTGCGTCAATAGCGGACTGTGCGTTCAGTATTTCACAAAATATCAGACAAGCAGCGAAAAAGTAAACTTGTCTGTACAGTCAGTAGTCACCTGCACATTGCTGTGTAATGAAGTTTCAAAAAATTACACAAAACAAACAGGCTTAAGAGAAACAGCCTACAAAATAGTGGTCTTACTGAATTTATCTGGTTTTGCAGCAGTGAATCCAAAGTGTGTTTATAGCTAATTCCTTCATTCATGCCGGAAACATCGCTTTCAACTAATTGCTGTCCCAGTAAACAGCTAAGTCAGTTGGGCAGAAAGTGCAGTTGCATCTGAAATACTCGACAATAGATGTACGACAGAAGGGAGAAACGGTGCAACATATTGAGTGGTGGAATCGAAATTCTTTAGAGCCGTGCATGGACACTTAGGCATCACTCAACCAAACTTACGTGGCTCTGCACGTCTCGTCGTGCGTCTCATATGATATGGTTTTTAAGCGATCAAACCCTGTAACATAGAACTCGACTTTTAAAGATGTCTGCAATACATGACGTAAAAGACGATGTTTTTTTTACCTAAACACCTTCTCGGCGTAGTAAAATAGGTTTAGTTCCTCTGAAAACGAAGTATCAGAGCGAGGTATCAGGCTTATAAACATACCAACCCGAATGAGTGTTTCATGACAAAATTCTAAATGGTTTTGTCAGCGTTTAACAGAGAAGGAACAATAGGTTGTTCTTGAAGTGATATTGTTTCTTCCATTATAGAGGAATTTGGATAACAAGTACGTAACTGTTCGTTTTCAGAGGACGTTTTCAGTTTGCATCTTGTTGGTTTAGATGTTTCGGTGAGCTCAATAGTTAAAGTGGAGACGTTTGCTTAGTTAGCCTGGGTGTTTATGATGCTGAAATTAACCGCAAATTTTGCTTGACTGAATAGAGAACTCCTGATAAGTTTTTCCTTGCAACCTTATTTTTCAAATCAAGTAAAGGTGACAACCTGAAAATCCTCACTTGCGTGTTAAGAGCAGTATGTTGGAAGGGGGAATAATACGGCGTTCAGCCAATCTAAGTATGCTTCGAAGTTAATGCATGAGACAATCCTAAACCACGGGTGTTATTATCTCGTCTCCTTTCACCACTAATAGAACCAATGGTCTTATCGATTGACAACTTAGCTGCAAATAATCCATAACCGTTCAAGGGGACATGATCAGTGTTTAAGCGTTGAGTGATGCATCGGGATTCTGCTATACGTCAACATGTACGCCTGCAGAAACGGATGAATTTCACGTGTCTCAAACCGAGAAATTACATGATTCTGCGAAGTACAAATTGCTAGGTATAATTGTTATGTATATCCAGTTTATCCGGTCTTAACCGTTGGAAGCTTCGGTCAAACTTGTTGCCGATTGCGTTCAACTTACATGAATCTGGTCCAGTAACCTGATAAAATAAGTAAATATGTAATACAAACGTGTAGAGAGATATATATACATTTACAAATGACAGTTTCGTGGCAACTTCCCTTACTGTCAGCACTGTTAAATGAGGGGCACAGTTCTACATAAACTGTTAACATCAACCACTATTTGAAATCCACCTATCAACTAGTTTGTTTCACGCCACCATTAATTTAATGAATAACTTCATTCAGTACTAGAACACCACAAGACGGACGTCGAATTCGTGGTTACAATAATGAGGACATTCCAGCAAAGCAAGGGATTACCAGCAATATTTGCCAGATTACTTCTCAGAATCTACACCGGAGGGATTCACAAGATCGCGCACGGCATGCAGTCTCATATTTTATCGTAGTTAAGTCATTTAATTGTCAACGTCCTCATCATAGTCTGAAGACTGCGAAACATGTGAAAACTTGGCCTTTCATCCTCTCTGATTCTTTGTATACTGTGAAATTTTGCAACCTTCTTCCGTCGATTAACACATCCGGATTCCGGTTACAGTATTTAAAACTAACCCAAAAAGTGGTCCGTGCCAACTATACTACCAAATTTTATGCGGTAGTGACGGTAGCAATTTTGATTCAATGGAAGCGTGGATAGTGACAGACGATAAATACAGGGGTACGGATCTATCATGCAGGATGATTACAACTAAACAGTTTGATGCAGATCTGAATGGTTGGTGCTCTATTGTTACTTGCCTACACTGCGCAATAAAGTGATTTTGAGAATTGGTTGTTTTCACGAGGATAGCAGTTTCAAGCTCAGTGTTACGCACCAGTACAGCCGAAAATAGTAAACTCACCCGATATGCGCACCTGATTAGGGAGCAACTTGGATTCAGAGGCAATGTACAAGTAGCCTTAATGGAAGTATGCAGAGGCCTCCCTCATTGGGTGTTTCGTTGATCTTGTTACGTTATAAGACTTGCATGTTTACATAAAACCATTTGGTTGCGTCCGATATTTTTTGATGATTGTCCCGGATCGATCTACCATGCCTTGCGTCACAACTTTGCCCAACCCTAATTTATAAAGTAATCTTAAATTGCCACCAGATGCCGATAAGGCCATGAGTTTACTTAGTCGTTAGTACAGGTTGCAAGTCGATGCTCATGAGTTTTGCACATAACCACCCGCCAGAAAAACATCACCTGTAGGCGTGAGCATTGAGAAGGCGAACTATGAGATAACAGTTTTCAAATCATGGAACGTGGTTCCATCGATTAACTTAGCAAAGAAACCGGGCCGTTCAAATTCAACTCGGTGATCCTGATAGAAAACGGAGATTCTCACACAGGCTCTATTTGTCCGTTAGTTGCCAATCACTAAGTGACCTTAAGCGCAGAGACATTTGGATGGTGGCTCAAACGTTAGCCTTGTGATGATAATCTCATCTTTCCAGGAACAGCATATGCGCGAACGATAAATTTAGTATCAAGTGCAGTATGTACAGTAGAAAAACCTGATAACTGTCCATGTCAAGAAAGTTGGCGTAATGTTGCGTGAGTTCTGAAGCCATTCGAAAAGAATCAACACCATCATGATTAGAGGCTGGGGGAAATAAGATATGCCGAAAATGTTGATACTAGCATAAGGACATAACAAACCGTAGAAGTTTTGTCTTATCCATTTAGTGTTAAATGAGTGTAAATCGGTCGGACATCCTTCTGAGACACACTGTATTTGTAGCATTCACACTAACTGATTAACCCTTTTAAAAGCGAAACAGGTGGTGAGCTGTCTAAGACTTAACTACTGTCTTTCATCTAGAAAGTGTAACGTCCCAGAAACTAAAAACTACGCGGCCTCAGCGCAACACAACTGTTTGAAAAAAATGATATTTAGCTGGGATTGAGGTGGATTCCGCTGTTAACACCTGCTTGATTTATGAATGAATGTGTTGTGCTAAACCTTATAAATACTGACCTGGTTTAAGCGTTGGCCACCGTCCAGCAGTGAGTTCGATTTTTAAATCAGATGGTTATCAACCCCTTTGATATAGAGCAAATGGGGAGCGTGAGCTCCGCTTCGTGATTTGATCAACGAACATGTACCCACAACTACAGTCTGAGGCTCTTCAGCATCAAAATAAATCACTTCCTACAACCGCCACTACAAATATGGTTATTGCAATCTTTAAATAGTCCGTTGGAGAACTGG